TGGGAAACAAAATGTTGAATGAAGAGGATTTAAAGAAAGAATGGGAGGGAAAAAGTAGAAGGCAGGAAGTGAGACAAATTTTACCACAAGATTTGCTGCGAACAGAAGTCAAATGAAGCATTAGCTGGAGGGAAGATGAGATTCCCTCCAATGAGATATGTCACTTTTTTCTGAGCAATATTAGTGTTGATCTGATCTCAGGATCATGGTTTGGCTTATCTGGGTTGATTGAAATGACTTTTTGTCTCTCCCTAGTTTAGTGAATGCTCAGTTATTTAACTGAAGACCTCTCTGTGTTGTTCTTTGAAAGGATTAACAATATTTTCTATCAATCCAGTTTTGTGAACAATCAGCATCTTCACTCTTCTGGAATAGTGGTTCTTCATGTCATAGAACTTGGATCTTACAAGCAGCCCCAAACTGTAATTTTGCTGGGCAACAATTTTGAATCGTTTGTGCTGTATTATTTCAGTATTAAAGTTATTTAGCTAGCTGACTTCTAAGTAGTTACATCTCAAAATGCTCTCTTATCCTCCATTAATCATTATGATAGGTGTAACTCTGATGTAGTATTACAAAGTTATTCTGAGATGTGGGATAACAACAGTGCAAGAACTAGTGCTTGAAAAAACCAGGGGGCATTCTGCTCATCTGATACCTATATTAACAGATTAATATAAAAGTGTACTAGGGCTACATTAACAAAATTCCAGACTGGGTGGCAGAAATAATAGGAATTTATTTTCTCTCAATTTGTTTTGGAGGCTAGAAGACTGAGATCAAGATGTTGGCAGGTTTGATTTCATCTGAGGCCTTTCTCCTTGGCTTGCAGATGGCCGCCTTCTTGCTGTGTCCTCACATGGTTTTGCCCCTGTGTGTTGTGTGTCCAAATTTCCTCTTCTTATAAGGACACCAGTCAGATTTATGAGAATCTACCCCAACAACCTCATTTTGACTTAATCACCTCTTTACAGGCTCTATTTCCAAAGACTTCAAATTTGGGGGTACTAGGGGTTAGGGCTTTAGCATATGGGTTTTGGGGAAACACAATTCATCCTACCACCTGTGGTAATCTGTTCTGTTAGTGTATAACATATTTTTAAAGGGATGAGAAAAAAAGAAATTTGAAAAACAGTAGTAAGAAGTAGCAACTTAGACCAAATGAGAGCTAGAAAAACTAATAAATTAATAAATAACTTACTACACCTCTACTGTGGGTCAGGTATGTGACATACACACACATATAAAAATATGTATACAGTCATCTCTCAGTATCTGCAGGAGATTGGTTCCAGGACCTGCTACTGATACCAAAATCTGAGGATGCTCAAGTCCCATAGTCAGCTCTTCATACTCATGGGTTTCATATCTGTAGGTTCAGCCAACCATGAATAGCATATTAAGTTTTCAGTCACAGTTGCCTGAATCTGTGAATGCAGAATGTGTGGATACTGAGGGCCAACTGCATACTTATTGAAAAAAATCCACAGATAAGTGGACCTGTGCAGTTCTTTCCCTTGAACAATCTGGGGGTTAAGGGCGCTGACCTCTGCCCAGTTGAAAATCCTTATGTAACTTAGAGTTGGTTCTCCCTATCTGTGGAATCAACCAACCATAGATCATGTAGTACTGTAGTATTTACTGTTGAAAAAAATCCGTGTATAAGTGAAGTGGCACAGTTCAAACTTGTGTTGTTCAAGGGCCAACTGTATATGAGTCATACTACAAGATCAGTGTTATTCCCACTTCTTGGATGAGGACATTTAGATTCTGAACTTTAATAATTCACAACAAGTCTTAAATCTGTACAGGTATCTTAATTTTTAAAAATGTTACATTCAACATATGGTAGCCATGGCAGAGAAGATAAGGATATACAAAATAATTTAAAACATTTAACAAAAAATTGTTAAAAATAATAACTATAAAATGTAAAGCAGATAAATTTTAGCTATCTACAAGATTCATTTCTGTGATGTCTATTTCCAAATGATTAAAAATAAATGTGATGATTGTACACATAATAGGATATCCACATTGTTGATAATATTAAAGTCTTGGTGCAAATTTTGATGAGATAGTGAAAGTTTACATTTTCTTCTCCCCAGAGTGATTATCAAAAGTTTAAGAAAACGTGCAAATATCTGGATACTACCATCTATCCAAATAAATTTGGTGCATTTTCTAAAGTATTTCCTTTTACAATATAGTTTGTTTTAGGATTAAAAATTATCAAATGTAAATGCAAATTAGCAGCTAATATAGTTATGTGCACATCATATTTTTGCTTCAATTACTTTTGCTTAGTTTTATTAACTTTAGTTAGGGCTCTAGAAATGAGAGTACCATCAATCTGTTTGTGTCATGTCTGCATATATTCATCATTTAAAAAAGAACAATATTCATACTGACATGTTTGAAAAAATGACAGCTAGTTTGAAGTGTATATTAAATTCAGATTTTTTAAAAAAGGCAAAAAGGAAAGGCAATCTATTTGATTTATTTCTCTATTTTGAAAAGTTGAAAGTGGTTATTTTGAAAATCAGTTGCACTCAAGTGGACTTGTAAAACAATTTTAATTTTTACTCAAAATATATGAGAGGTCATCATTAGTCCTTATCTTACACTTGAAAAATGGAGACAATTGTACAGGAAGGGAAGGGAAACAGAAGTTATTAGATTTTAAGCTCAAGTTTCCAAAGTATTCAAATAAGGCAGGTAAAAAAAAAGATACTTTCCCATTGTCCAACATAATTTTCATGTCTCCTTATTTCATAAAACATAAATATCATTTACCAGAAATAATAGTTTATTTTAGATTTTTTCCTAAATACCATGATTTCTTGCTTTTTAAAGGAAGGCTCCCCAGCAGTGCCACCTATAAACTGACCAGCAGTTTCTCTCTTTAAAAAAATTCCAATCTATGTGGATTTAAAGAATAAATATCACACCCCCATGGTAAACTATTTTATCACCACCATATATAAGTGATCAGTATTTTTCAATGAAGAAATTCATAGCATCAAACAGTGTTATACTGCACTATGATTGGACTGACTGAAGTATGGGCCTCTGTATACAAATTCTGATAAGACACCTGAAAAACAGGGGGAAAAGGAAATGGAAACTTACACTGCATTGAAGAGACTGTGTGCAGAGGACCTCACATGGATGCCACTTGCACTGAGTGCAAGTGGAATAAAGCTAGGAATGAAGCTTGGCTACCTAAAATAATTTTGATCAAAATAATTTTGATCAAAACTCACCCGACCTAATAAAATTCTAAAGAAACTGACAAAAAGTGCTACCCCCTAATGTCACCTATAACTAGATAGTATTGTCTGTGAGGAAAATAACCAACTCAGTAGGTACTCTTTATGTGGAAACAAAAATAGAGGGCTTTGTCATTATTCATCAGGCACAGGGAGGAGACTGCTGCTTTATTAAAAAAAAAAAAAAAAAAAGACAAGGTTAAAAGTGAACTGGTAGCCCCCAGAAGTATAGTATCAATTGTTAATCTAAATCCTACCTCCAGGTGGCCATATGTTGTACACTTCCAGTAAATTCTGACTCAGTCTTACCTAATAAGAAATGAACATACAAAGAAAAACAATAAACCAACAATAAAACCCTGTGATGATGAATGTTGCTCATTCCAAAATGATAGTAAGGAACTCTAAATAAAAAAAAACAAAAATTGCTTGTACAAAGCAACAGTGCAAGTGTCATCCATGCCAGGTCCTGTGCACACAATCTCTTCAATGCAGTATAATTTTCCTCTCAGCAGCCACCTGCAAAGAACTGAAGTGTAGTGAAAGGATTTGCACTGCAGCTGATTCACTGACACTGTAAGGAAGAGTGGCCAGTGCCATTATTCGTGTTTAGTGGCTGAATACTAATCTTGGGAAATACTTAGTCACTAGACTTTTTTCTTAACAAGCAGTTTCTCATGAACAAGGTCTGGTCAACAGTGAACTAGAATGAATCTCAACCTGACCTCCTTGACTTTTAGGACATTTTTAACTCTGCCTCTCTTTTTTTTTTAAATGTCGGTTCATTGGTTTGTTTATTTATTTACTTTTGGCTGTGTTGGGTCTTCGTTTCTGTGCGAGGGCTTTCTCCAGTTGCGGCAAGCGGGGGCCACTCTTCATCACAGTGTGCGGACCTCTCACTATTGTGGCCTCTCTTGTTGCGGAGCACAGGCTCCAGATGCACAGGCTCAGTAGTTGTGGCTCACAGGCCCAGTTGCTCTGTGGCATGTGGGATTTGCACAGACCAGGGCTCGAACCCGTATCCCATGCATCAGTAGGCAGATTCTCAACCACTGCGCCACCAGGGAAGCCCCCTCTTTGCCTCTTTTAAAGTGTTGTTTGATAGGCAGCCACTAAAATAAATCCTCCCCCTTTTCAACTTACTTCCTTTTTTTCCCCTAAGGTTGGCCCTGTGTAAACCTAAAAACATATGGTAACTTTATATACAAGGTTTCTCAAAGTGCAAAATGTGTTACATATAATTTCATAGGCTTCATTTATACAGAGCATTCTATACAATACAGTACAGTTTGCGATTTCTGTTCATAAATTTACACCACTTAGACAACTACAGTTGACCCTTGAACAATGTGGGTTTGAACCGCCATGGGTCCACTTATACATGGACATCTTTTTTTTTTTTTTTTTTTTTTCGGTACGCGGGCCTCTCACTGTTGTGGCCTCTCCCGTTGCGGAGCACAGGCTCCGGACGCGCAGGCTCAGCGGCCATGGCTCACGGGCCCAGCCGCTCTGCGTCATGTGGAATCCTCCCAGACCGGGGCACGAACCCGTGTCCCCTGCATCGGCAGGCGGACTCTCAACCACTGCGCCACCAGGGAAGCCCCATGGACATCTTTTGATAGTGAATCCTACAGCACTACATGAGCCACAATTAGTTCAGTCCACAAATGCAGAGGAATTTTGTATACAGGGGACGGGTTTGACTACAAATTATGCATGGATTAACACACCAACCCTTGCCCATGTTGTTCAAGGGTCAACTGTACTTCAAAAGGTGGCCACTCAAAGTAACCCAATGCCTTCCTACACAAGGTTAATATAGCTGAACTGTACAGGCTTTGTTCAGAACAAAACAACACAGTGAATTTACACTTATATATACATACATAGTTTAAAATGCTCTTTAAATGGTTAAGGATAGCTAGACAAATCTCACCAACCATGAAATATATTTTGGTTTCTGGTTTGCACACATATATTGTACACAATATTTAAAAAAATAATTTGCAAGACAAGTCATTTTATTTATTTTTACACCATCTACTCAGGCTGTGACTCTTTTGGAAGGGTTCTTGCCCGCTGTAGAACCACACTAAGCTCTTCGATGACCTTTGGTGGTAACTTATTATTAGAGTCCAAAGTAGCTTTGCCATTCCTGTCCTCAGTCTTCCTCAATGTCTTTAGGCCTTTCTGGCCTTTCTGTTGCCCTTGAAGGACCTCAGCCTCTGTGTCCTCCAGACAGTTGAAACTCCAATGTTTTCTGGTTCGATTTCGAAGTTTCTCATCCTTGTGCTCCAGGCACTGGGCCACGATGGAGGCTCTCTCCCTTAAGGTGCCATCCCCAGGCTCTTGGTCATGCTTTGCACTGAGCCGTAGCCTTTCGAGTTCTGCTTTTGCACTCTAAAAATAAAACAAAACATCTCACAGGGAAGCAAGATCTGGAACACTTTTTTTAAAGAATACTCTGCACATAAAAGTTGATGCTTCTTGTATTAGAATTTATTTCTGTGATTTAGGTTCTAACATGACTTTGGTACAAGCAGCATGTCTGAATTTATAGACTGATCTTAGAGCTACAAAATCAACTGAAATGGAGATCATGGAAATTCATTTTAACAAGCATTTAGCATACCACTTCAAAGATGTCTTTCAAGTTAGTTATTCAAATTAACTCTCATTTCAAACTTGCCTCTTCCAATTCAGTGCCGCTTATATGTGTCACATATTCATGCATCTGTGATTCCTACAGTGTTATACCCAAAGGACAGAGGAAAAAGGGAGTCTCCATGGCCATGAGTCCAGGAAATGCTCTGTACTACAGATCCCTCTTTGAGAGTCACAATACATATTAGCATATTAAAGAAGCTAAGAAATATTACAGCAGAAAAATCTGACTTCTTTTTCTATTTTCTCTTCCCCAAATATTTGACTAGTGAAATCTTTTCCCCGCATAATACCCTATTAGAATCCCACAGAAATATATACCCATAGATATACTTAGGAAAATACTGAAAGGTATATATAGTTGTGTATTAAAACCCACTTTTGTATCAGTGGATTAAAGTACACATTCATTCAGTGAACTTTAAGTGCCTACAGGTACCAGAAATCCATTGAGACACAACTTGCATTGGGACAGAGGTGCACTTTCCTAACTAGCGTCCAGGGTGTCTTGTGACTGGGCAAGTACTGGCATCCAGAACTCTCATGAGATTCTCAAAGGTGACTACAGCCTCATCAAATGTAAGATAAAAGAATGAACAACAGAGAAGCAAGCATCTAGTGGATATGGAGCCACAGCAAAAGGCTACCCAAAAAATTGGGTCAGGGCAGGAAGGCATAGTCATTTTTCTTTTCACAAACAAGAATTGAAGGAATTTCTTCAATATTTCCCTAGTAAAAATTGAAAAGCACAGAAAGAAGAAATCCAAAGAAAATTTTTTTTATTATATTACAAATGTTTGAGAGAGAGAAGATGAAATAAAAGGGGTAGTATATAATATTAAGAATGGGACTATTTTGCAGATGGCAGAGTAGTAGGACGTGAGCTCACCCCTTCTTAGGAAAACACCAAAAATCACAACTAACTGCTGAACAACCATGAACCAAAAAAAAAAGCCAGAACCTACCAAAAAAGATACCCTACATCCAAAGACAAAGAAGAAGCCACATGAGATGGCAGGAGGGGCACAATTGTGATAAAATCAAATCCCATATCTGCCAGGTGGGTGACCCACAAAACTGGAAACTAATTATACCACAGAAGTTATCCCATAGGAGTGGAAGTCCTGAGCCTCACATGAGGCTTCCCAGCCTGGGGGTCTGGCAACAGGAGGAGAAGCCCCCAGAGAATCTGGCTTTGAAGGCCAGCAGAGTTTGATCACAGGAATTCCACAGGACTGGGGGAAAACAGAAACTCCACTCTTGGAGGGTACACACAAGGTCTCATGCACACCAGGACCCAGGGAAGAAAAAGGAATGAACTCATAAAAGACTGGGCCAGACCTACCTGCCAGTATTGGAGGGTCTTGGAGGCAGGGGGGAGGCTGTGGCTCACTGTGGGGGACAAAGACACTGGCAGCAGTAGTTCTCGGGAGTACTCATTGGTGTGAGCTTTCCTGGAGGCTGCCATTTCCTCCCCAAGACCTAGCCCCACTGGAGCCTGTAGGCTCCAGTGGTGGGACGCCTCAGGCCAAACAACCAATACAGCACCACCCATCAGCAGACAGACTGCTTAAAGTCTTCCTGAGCATGGCCCTGCCCACCAGAAGGACAAGACTTAGCTTCACCCACCATTGGGCAGGAACCAGTCCCTCCCACCAGGAAGCCTGCACAAGTCCCTTAGCCTCATCTACCAGAGGGCAGACAGCAGAAGCAAGAACTACAATCCTGCAGCCTGTGGAAATGAGATGGCAGAGGATTATTTCCCAGATGAAGGAACAAGATGAAACCCCAGAAGAACAACTAAGTGAAGCAGAGATAGGCAATCTACCAGAAAAAGAATTCAGAGTAATGATACTGCAAGATGATCCAAGATCTCAGGAAAAGAATGGAGGCACAGATTGAGAAGTTACAAGAAAAGTTTAACAAAGACCTAGAAGAACTAAAGAACAAACAGAGATGAACAACACAATAACTGAAATGAAAAATACACTAGAAGAAATCAATAGCTGAATAGCTGAGGCAGAAAAACGGATAAGTGAGCTGCAAGACAGAATGGTGGAAATCAATGCTGCAAAATAGAATAAAGAAAAAAGAATGAAAAGAAGTGAAAACAGTCTAAGAGACCTCTGGGACAACATTAAATGCCCCAACATTCACATTACAGGAGTCCTGGAAGGAGAAGAGAGAGAGACAAAGGATTTGACAAAATAATTGAAGAGATAATAGCTGAAAACCTCCCTACCATGGGAAAGGAAACAGTCACCCAAGTCCAGGAAGTACAGAGAGTCCCGGGCAGGATAACCCCAAAAACAACATGCCGAGACACATAGTAATCAAATTGACAAAAATTAAAGACAAAGAAAGAACATTAAAAGCAACAAGGGAAAAGAGACAAATAACATACAAGGGAACTCCCCTAAGGTTAACAGCTGATTTCTCAGCAGAAACTTTACAAGCCAGAAGGGAGTGGCACAATATATTTAAAGTGATGAAAGGGAAGAACCTACAACCAAGAATACTCTATCCAGCAAGGCACTCATTCACATTTGAGAGAGAAATCAAAAGCTTTACAGACAAGCAAAAGCTAAGAGAATTCAGCACCACCAGACCAGCTTTGCAACAAATGCTAACGGACTTCTCAAAGCAGAAAAGAAAGGGCCACAACTAGAAACAAGAAAATTACAAATGGAAAAGCTTTCTGGCAAAGGCAAACATACAGTAAAGGTAGGAAATCATCTGCACACAGATATGATTACCAAAACCAGCAACTGTGAGATGAGGAGAGCACAAATGCAGGATATTGGAAATGCATTTGAAATGAAAAGACCAGCAACTTAAAACAATCTTGTTTGTATATAGACTGCTATATCAAAACCTCATGGTAACTGCAAACTAAAAATCTACAATAGATACACTCAAAGAAAAAGGAATCCAAACACAACACTAAAGTTAGTCATCAATTCACAAGAGAACAAAAGAGGAAGGGAAGAAAAAAGAGCTGCAAAAACAAATCCAAAACAATTAACAAAATAGCAATAAGAACATATATATTGATAATTACCTTAAATCTAAATGGAATGAATGCTCCCACCAAAAACAGACTGGCTGAATGGATACAAAAACAAAACCCCTAGGACTTCCTTGGTGGCACAGTGGTTGAAAGTCTGCCTGCCGATGCAGGGGACACGGGTTCGTGCCCCAGTCCGGGAGGATCCCACATGCCGCAGAGTGGCTGGGCCCGTGAACCATGGCCACTGAGCCTGCGCGTCCGGAGCCTGTGCTCCGCAACGGGAGAGGCCACAACAGTGAGAGGCCCGCGTACCGCAAAAAACAAACAAACAAAAAACCCCTATATATATTCTGTCTACAAGAGATGCACTTCAGATCTAGGGACACATACAGACTGAAAGTGAGGGGATGCAAAAAGGTGTTCCATGCAAATGGAAATCAAAAGAAAGCTGGAATAGCAATACTCATATCAGACAAATAGGCTTTAGAATAAAGACTGTTACAAGAGACAAAGAAGGACACCACATAATGATCAAGGGATCAATTCAAGAAGAAGATACAACAATTGTAAATATATAAGAACCAATATAGGTGCCTCGACATATAGGGCAAATACTAACAGCCATATAAGGAGAAATCGACAGTAACCAATAATAGTGATTTTAACACCCCATTTTCATCAACGGACAGATCATCCAGACAAAAAAATCAGTAAGGAAAAACACTTTAAATGACACATTAGACCAGATGGACTTAATTTAGATTTATAGAGCATTCCATCCCAAAGCAGCAGAATACATATTCTTCTCACGTGCACACGGAACGTTCTCCAGGCCATGTGCTGGGCCATAAAGTGAGCCTCAGTAAATTTAAGAAAATTGAAATCATCAAGCATCTTTTCCGACCACAACAATATGAGATTAGAAATCAACTATAAGAAAAAAACCCATAAAAAACACAAACATGTGAAGGCTAAAAAATATGCTATTAAACAACCAATGGATCACTGAAGAAATCAAAGAGGAAATCAGAAGATACCCAGAGACAAATGAAAATGAAAGCACACTGATCCAAGACCTATGGATGCAGCAAAAGCAGTTCTAAGAGGGAAGTTTACAGCAATGTAATCTTACCTCAGGAAACAAGAAAAATTACAAATAAACAACCTAACCTTATGCTTAAAACAACTACAGAAAGAAGAAGAAAAACCCAAAGTTAGTAGAAGGAAAGAAATCATAAAGATCAGAGCAGAAGTAAATGAAATAGAAATGAAGAAAACAACAGAATATCAATGAAACTAAAAAGCTGGTTCTTTGAAAAAATAAAATTGATAAACCTTTAGCCACACTCATCAAGGAAAAAAGGGAGAGGGCTCAAATCAATAAAATCAGAAATGAAAAAAGAGAAGTTACAGAGACACCACAGAAATACAGAGGATCATAAGAAACCACTACAAACAACTATATGCTAATAAAGTGGAAAACCTGGAAGAAATGGACAAATTCTTAGAAAGGTACAATCTCCTAAGACTGAACCAGGAAGAAATAGAAAATATGAACAGATCAATCAGGAGTACTGATATTGAAACTGTGATTAAAAAACTCCCAACAAACAAAAGTCCAGGACCAGATGGCTTCACAGGTGAATTCTATCAAACATTTAGAGAAGAGCTAACACCTATCCTTCTGAAAGTGTTCCAAAAAACTGCAGAGGAAGGAACACTCCCAAACTCATTCTATGAGGCCATCATCACCCTGGTACCAAAACCTGACAAAGATACTACAAAAAATGAAAATTACAGGCCAATATAGCACTGATGAACATAGATGCAAAAATCCTCAACTAAATACTAGCAATCTGAATCCAACAATACATTAAAAGGATCATACACCATGATCAAGTGGGATTCATCCCAGGGATGCAAGGATTCTTCAGTGTCTGCAAATCAATCAGTGTGATACACCATATTAACAAATTGAAGAAGAAAAACCATATGATCACCTCAATACATGCAGAATAAGCTTTTGACAAAATTCAACATCCATTTATGATAATAACTCGCCAGAAAGTGTGCATAGAGGGAACATACCTCAACATAATAAAGACCATATATGACAAACCCAAAGCTAACATTATATCCAACAGTGAAAAGCTAAAAGCATTTCCTCTAAGGTCAGGGACAAGAGAAGGATTTTCAATTGTGCCACTTTTATTCAGCATAGCTTTGGAAGTCCTAGCCATGGCAATCAGAGAATAGAAAGAAAAAAAAGGAATGCAAATTGGAAAAGAAGAAGTAAAACTGTCACTGTTTGCAGATGATGTGATACTATGCATAGAAAATCCTAAAGATGCTACCAGAAAACTACTAGAGCTCATCAATGAATTCGGTAAAGTTGCAGGATACAAAATTATTACACAGAAATCTGTTGCATTTCTACACACTAACTATGAAAGATAGAAAGAGAAATTAAAGAAACAATCTCATTTACCATCTCATCAAAAAGAATAAAATACCTAGGAATAAACCCACCTAAGGACGCAGAAGACTTGTACTCTGAAAACTATAAGACACTGATGAAAGAAATCGAAGATGACACAAACAGATGGAGAGATATACCATATTCTTGCATTGTAAGAATCCACATTGTCAGAATGACCATACTTCCCAAAGCACTGCTATCTTTAAAATAGATAACCAACAAGGTCCTCCTGGATAGAACAGGGAACCCTGCTCAATATTCTGTAATAACCTAATGGGAAAAGAATTTGAAAAAGAATAGATACATGTATATGTATAACTGAATCACTTTGCTGTACACCTGAAACTAACACAACATTGTTAATCAACTATACTCCAATATAAAATAAAAATTTTTTAAAATACTATTTTGAAAAAAAAAAGAATGAAACTGAGTAGCATAAACAGTGCTGTAACTAAGGATGTCTAATATAATGTTTAAAGGGCAACACCTCACCTCTTTATTTTTCTCTATAGTGCTCATCACTTTCTAATATATATACTAGACAAGCTACTTATATCTCTTGTGATTATCTGAATGCCCTGCTAGAAAGTTAATGCAATGCAAAGATTCTTTTGTTTGATTTGTTCATTGACGTGCAAACCTATCACAGTGCCAGCACACAGGAAGTGGTCAATAAATATTTTCTGAATAGGAAATGAAGAAAGCTTAAAAAAATTCAGATGTTTAATATTCTGTTCTATTTTCCTAAATTTCAGCAGATCAGGACATGAAATTTTGTAAGTCAAATTCAAGCTGAATAAAAACATTTTAATCAACATAAATTATAAATAATTTTGCAATTTAGAATTTTCTGATAAGCTCATGATTATACATCTCAGATAAGTATTTATTCTCTAAAACTGACAGGAAGAAATATTTAGTTATTTAGTATCTAGTTGAATTCCAAAGTTTAATTAGAATATGTTTAAGAGAGATAGTAGTAATAGTTGCACAACCATGTGAATGTAATTAATGTACTATGCACTTAAAATGGTTAAAATGGAAAATTTATATGTATTTTATCACAGTACAAAAAAAATGAGAGATTAGTAAAAATTATGGCTATTTAGCATAGGAATGTGACTGGGAGTTTATAAATATGAATCTTACTAAAAAGTTTCACGTGACATCTATTACGGAAAATCAAGGATCAATATAGAGTGGTTTTATATATTATACAGTTCTCATTACTTTTCAGTTATCAGCAGAAAGACTTTGGGACGCTCTTAGATGCAGAATTTAGAGGCCAAATATTCATACATGTAATGCTGAAATTTCAAGTAAAACTATGATATTAGCCTAAATGACATAACCTTATACAAAGGCGGGGAGGCATGATGAAGTGAACTGGTAGAAATCAAGAGATGGTAGTGAGTGCTTTGCATGAACAATATGGTGTGTGGAGTGCCTTTGCATGTTGTGGGGAAAGAAAGCCAAGGCATCAGTACTGTGGAAAGAAGGGCATCATTTATGTGCTGCACTATCCTTAAGGTCTTAATAATTTAAAAAGAAAGACTGATAAGGTATGAAATTTAGGAGAGTAAAAGGTAGGCTGGTCCAGACGATGCCAGTTTGTGTCAGAGGGCATTTAGAGAAAACTGTTTGTTTAAATGGAAATGAGGATCTGAAATGGAGTGTGTCTCCCAGCAGAGAGAACACCCCCCCTATGAAGTAAGGGCTTTTATTATCCCTAGGAGCTTACAGATAAAAGCTGAGCACAATGAACACGATGAAGTAGGTACCTAAGTGGAAGTAGGAGGGCCGTAGGTAGCATATAGCTTGTACATTCTTATGCACTATTTGCCTCTTCATGTATGATTTCCTTTGTCAACAACTTACTTCCTCTGGCTTATTCACTAGCTCACTACTAATTTACTCAATAAATTTTGGAAGTCACTTCCTCCAGGAAGCCTTCCCTGCCTGGAGGAGGTATTCTCATACAAGTTTCTACTGAACCTCATGAAAGCAAGACAGCTCATGGAATGGGAAGTCACCAAATTCACCAATCTGTCAACAATTTGTTTGAAAAGCAACGCTTCTTGAATATATCTGTTGATATGACTATATATATATATATATATATATATATATATATATATATATTTTTTTTTTTTTTTTTTTTTGTGGTACGTGGGCCTCTCACTGTTGTGGCCTCTCCCATTGTGGAGCACAGGCTCCTGACACACAGGCTCAGCGGCCATGGCTCACGGGCCCAGCCGCTCTGTGGCATGTGGGATCCTCCCGGACCAGGGCACAAACCCATGTCCCCTGAATTGGCAGGCGGACTCTCAACCACTGTGCCACCAGGGAAGCCTGATATTACTATATTTTTTTCTTATGAATCTACTCTTAGTAATACTTTGTCATTTTATTAATATATTTTCTTATGTATTTACATAAATCTAATTCAATAACAAATATTTTATTGGTTCATATGAAAACTTGCAATTCTGTCCTTTTTAAGAATTAAATTTTAAAATTTGTTGAATTACCACATTTACTAAATTTACAAAAAAGCTTGGTTTAGTTTACTAACAAATTTTCTAGCAATTAGTATTTCACAAAATTGCTTTTTAAGCCTTTAACGATTTTGTTACAGTTTTTGTACAGTTTTCTGGTCTGAAGTATGCTAAAAAATAATTGTCTCTGAAATTCTGGATTTGGGATTAAGTAAGAAATTATTATATATTCAATCATCACCTCAGTTCTGTACTGGATACTGGTTAATGTATTTTGATCCTAATAATTTATTTTTTTGCTTTGCTCCGTAATCAATCCTGAGGCACTGTCAGGAGAAGCTGGAGTCACAGTAGGACATATCTACTCCCTATGTTTCTGTGTTCCCTAATCTGGGTTCTTGGGAAACATGACTCTTAAAATTTTAAGATTCCAGATTAGCTGAGGAATCCATAGTTCTGCAAAGCAGTTTATTAGGAAGAAAAACCCGTAAGCGCAGAATGGCAGGAGGGACAAGCTCCTGAGTTCTTACTGTCTTATTCCTCCTTTTGATCACAGCAGCGCATAAGGACTGAACAGGCAACAAAGGGAATAAACCATTATTTCAAAGCTTTTATCTTCTGGAGAAGAAGCGTATTACAGTGAGATAAATGTTCAAGGAAAGACAGTCATGGAAAAACATTTTTAAAAAATCTGATCACTAAATTAAAATGGCTTTTGTCTTTCAAAAGTTATTCCTGTTACACCTGAAACTAACACAACATTGTAAATCAACTATACTCCAGTAAAATTAAAAAAAAAAAAAAAAGTTATTCCTGTTTGGAAAGCAAGGAACTCACACAGCTTAATGGCCAAACCTAGGCTCCAAGAAGAAATAACAGTAGCTTTTACATGCTTTTCTTTTTGCTTTGAGGGACTCATTTAAGGCCTTGAAATGCACATTAGTTGCAAATTGTCTAATGAGTTTTGAGTGCAAACAGCCTATGTCTTTTTCCTGAATCAAGACTGATGCTACTTATGGTCACCCTGCCCTTCAAGGTGAGAAGGAAAGCACACAGTTTTCATGAAAGATGCCAAATCTTCTTTATTGATGCTCAGGGGTCATCTTGCAGTTCCTTATATTAACTGAGACACCCCATCGGTTCCCAGCCTCTGAAATTTGATTGTGTTACTGGAAAGTCTAACTACCATGGCTCCAGACATTCTGCCATGGGCTCATTCTAAGGAGGTTAGAAGTGAACTTGTAAGGCTAATTTGAGACTGTGATTTTTATCACCAGAACTTCTATATACATATTTAACATTCTTGGCCACTTTAGGAATAAAAACAAAAAGTGGTATTGTACATATTTAATTGAGTGGTCAATGACATTATTAAAATTGATCATTTAAGAGAAGTTAATAAAATATAAAACTTCAGAGAGTGGCATAGGGTTATTCATAAAGTTTTCTTGATGGATGTTATTTTTACTGTGCTTTTCAAAGTGCTTATTACTGTGCTTTGAAACCAATGAAGTAATTAATGCATTTAATCACATTAAGACATAAGAAAACAAATGCTATGATTAATATAAAAACAAATAAAATCCTAACCTTACCTCAATCTCTCTCCAGGCTTGGGTTGCATTTTTCTCATGCTGGATGGGAATTAGAGGCAAACCTCCAATTTTGGGAGTTTTGGTTATAGAACGTTTTCGTTCCTTTCCAGCTGGTGGCCATATATCACTTTCATGCTGTGGAAACAAAATTTCTTGCTGTGGGTGTGTGATTTTATTATGTGGTACACCAAATTATATAGTCACTTGGCTCCTTTCTCATATATCCAAGTCAGATGATCTGCTTTCCATGAGAAGGCTGTTTGTAATTATGATGTTCACTCTGATGGTGGTACCGCGTGAGGATGTAAAACTCTTAAGTGAACTGAGCTTTGAGGTCTCAGTTCAATTTCTAAACGTCAAATACATGTCTTCTGTACTACTTATCCAACCAAAAGGGGAAAAATATTTAAGGAAACTGGCAAATCTCTTTGTGGAAGAAAATTAATATACGTGTCTACATTTTTAGGCCCTGTAATCAAAGCAATTGTACATTCATTTTCCCTTACCACCAAAGATAACTTTAGTGTCAAAATAATTTGACATTATATATACCCCAAGTCAACCTAAGGCATGGCTATTGGAAAAATTATCTTTATTTTATGACCTTTTGAAAAATGTTATTTTCATCTAATTGAATTCCAAAGAAACATTACCTTGTACACAGACATTTATACTGAAAATCATTGTACAACAGAGAGTGGCACACATTTGTTCTCAAACTATTGACTACATATTCTGGGCACTGAGCAATTATAGATATGACTGGAGAAAAGGTAATTTTGCAAAGGAGAGAAATATCCATAGTTTAAAAATATAAGCTCTTGGATGATAAATCCTTAAGATATGCATATAAAAGAAAAATCTTTAAAGAATTTTTCTATTCTTCAGGGTAGATTAACTTTTCAGAAGTTGGGAAAAACAAATTGATTTTCAGACAACAACCTGTGAAAGAAATACAGAATACCAACTACACACAATGAGACGTTTACAGATGTTATGATGAAATGAAAACCATTTGGTAAACTATATAGCTAAATGCCTACTCATTTTTTTCCTCTAAAGAATGAACAGATTCTTATTCTTATGGTCCTATTATTACTAGATTTAGTGCATAGGCATCAGATCTACCCTTGGATTTCAGTGAAGTGCTTACTTTGGTTCAGCAAATCTACAATGGTAAATTATACAATATTTCAATCAGAGAGAAAGTTACAAGCTTCATATTATTATTTTTATGTCCTGGTCTTAAATTTGGTAAAAAAAACTTTGATATTACATAATTGGGATGTTCCCAACATGTAAAGCTGGGAGAATACTGGCTGGGAAGGAATTAGGTAATCCTATGAATTATGCCTACATTTTTACTCACTGATGTATAATATATGTGTTAAACGGTATTTTGAGGAATCTAAGAGCAAATGTAGTTTTCAAACACATTTTTTTTTCTGACATGATATACAATGCTGTGAATACCAGCTAATTAGTTCTCACTGGATTGATCCAAGAGGTATTTTTCCCAATAACAGAAATCTTTAGATCTAAGTAATATGTTCTGATAACCTTTATAGTTATGCATAAGTGACTTCAAAAGTCATACTGCATGGAGCATATAGCTGAGGATCATACTCTCATTATTATAATCAGTGATCACATCCCCAAATCTTCATTTCTGCATCCCACTTTTTCAAATTTTCCCCCCACATCTTTACTGAGGTATAATTGACAAAACTGTAAGATATTTAAAGTGTACAACGTGATGATTTGATACATGCATACATTGTGAAAGGATTCCCCCCATCGAGTTAATCAGCATATCTATCATCTCACATATTTAACCTTTCTGGGTTTCTTTTGGTAAGAACATTTAAGTTCTACTCTCTTAGCAAATTTAAATTATATAATACAGTATTATGAACTATAGTCACCATGTCATCTATTAGATCCTCAGACCTTATTCATCTTATATCTGAAAGTATGTACCCTTTTACCAGCCTCTCACTATTTCCCCCACAGCCCCTGGCAACCAACTGTTCCATTCTGTTTCTATGAGTTTGATTTTTATATGGAATACCATGCAGTAATTGTCTTTGTCTGGCTTAATTCACTTAGCAAAATGCCCTCCAGGTTCATCCATGTTGTCCCAAATGACAGATTTCCTTTTTTAGGGCTGAACAATATTCCATTGTATACATGTTTGTATATATGTATGTGTGTGTATATACACACACACTACACACATCTTCTTTATCCATTCATCCATCGATAGACACTTAAGGTTGTTTCCATACCTTGCCTATGGTGAATAATCCTGCAGTAAACATGGTTCTGCCTCTCACTTTCTGACCTTGACATCTTTCCAGGTAACCTAGTTTAGTTTCATTAACCCTAAATATTCTTTAGACTCCTTGAGATCTTCAGTCCATTCTCCACCACCATTCTACTTTTCACATTTTTTCCCACTTCCTTCACAGTCTGGCTTAGATTTCATGGTCAATCAGTATACTCACCTCCTTATAAATAAGATCAAGTCCTGTGCTGCTTCTCCTTTGATCACACTTGCCTGGCAAAGCCCCAAGCCTAGTTAAACCCAATTATACTTACTCCATGGGTGCCTCCAAATTGATGGAGGGGAAATAAAAAATAGAAAATCAATCTGGAGATGCATCTCACTTTAAATTTACCCTTAAATTTCAAGTGAGCACTTAGCCTTCCCTTCATATTCTAATATAGTACAACTGGCTCCCTCACTCTCTGAAGGTATTATCTCATCTTTTATTCTGCCCCTACACTTCTAATATCCACCCCTGACTCACATGTGGTGACGTCACTGATTTAATTGAAAAATTATTAGTAATCATCCAATGATTTCATTTTCCCACCATGAAATGTACCAGTCTCTCTGCATCTATAGCCATATAAACAAGGCTCCCTTCTCTTCCAATAAGTATTTACTCTGATTATAAATAACTCTGCCCCAATCATATCTATAATCACTCAGTGGGCCAGAATATATAGTCAATAATATGAGAAAAAGTGTGCCCCACACTCTGTTGTACAATGATTTTTTTTCACAATGCTGAACACATGCACTTGCTCACATTGCTTCCTGTTGGCTCAGGGCCTCTGCTGGTTTAATATTCTATCCTCTAATTCCTTGATAGAATTCTCTACATGTATCACCTGGTTTTCCTCCTTCCTCCAAGCTTCTTATTTCTTTTGGTCAATTTTTCACTTCTGTTTGACCTTTAACGTTTGTAATGTCCTAGGGCTTATTTGTCTGTCTTCTTTTTCTCTGTCTTTCCCTATAGCCTCCCCTCTCCAATTTTGTGTTCTAATTCTCTCTCATTCATACAGTCTCTCTCTCATCTCACCCTATCCTCCAATGGCCTTTCAATGCAATCCAAATGCTGACTTCCACAAAATTTACATTTCGGCCCCAAACTTTTGCCTGAGTTTTTGATCTATACACCTAAACTGCTACTCATCATATCCCCTTGTATGTCTAACAGGCATCTCAAATTTCATGTGGCCAAAACAGAACTCTCAATTTTCTTCTGCATCTCTGATAATGTCACCTACACTCATCAGCTGCCCAAGGCCAAACAAACAACTTGGACTCTTCCTTGATTTCTACTCCTCAAACTGCTATAGCTGATCAATCTGTAAGCTTTACTGCCTCTACCTTCAAATACTCCTGGATCTGAATATGTCTTACCAGACCCACTGTTACCACCCTAGTCTGAGCTGCCATCTTCTTCCACAGAGCTGTTCTTCCTGCTTCCATCTTTGACCTTCTACAGTGCAGTTCAACAAAGGAACCAAAATTATTATTTTCCAGTAATATAAGCTGATTATATCTTTCCCTTGTTTCCCACTGAAACTCCTAAACTGGGACTACATCATCTGTCCCCTGCCTTCCTTATCTCTTACATCCTGTCTCAGATAGGCCTTCATGATAGTCATGGAATAAGTCAAGATTACAACATGTCAGGACCTTGCTGACCCCTAACGCTGCCCTGGAATGCTCTGCCTGTCCTGCATACCTGGCTCCCTCATTTCAGACAGGTCTCAGCACACCTTTCAGATACTCAGAAAGGTATTCCCTGAGAATCTTTCTCAATTAATGTCCTCCTTATATCAGTCACACTGGCTTTCCTTTCCCTAGCTTATTTTATTTATTGTTTTATCACACTAATATCTATTTGAAATTTTATCAGATTATCCTCTATACTATTTTAGAAATACTAATTGAGCATGTACTTTGTAAGACGTATTGGGTTCTGTGATGAAGATATATAATTAGTTCTAATAAGACTGACAAGGTCCTTCCTCTCATGGAGTTTACATTTTAGTAGGAAAGACAGACATAAACCTAAAGACACAAATGCTTTTTAATTAGTATGACAGTGTTGAAGTAAAGAATGCTAAGGGTTCCTACAGCCTGAAGGTCTAATTGGTCTGAAGGTCAGGGAAGGTTTCTCTGAGAATGTGACATGTAAGCCGAAGACTTTTGAGGCAGGGGTAAGGATGGGGATGGATATTAGAAAAGTATTCAGGGCACCAGAAAGAACGCATTGTAAGGGGCACTCACTGTTGGATTTTGTGTGTGTGTGTGTGTATGTGTATGTATGTATTAACGTATATATTAATGTTTGCTATTTTCCTGTCTCTTTCCCTATGGCGGTGAACCATTAAATCCTCAAATCCAAAAGGACCTTAATGTTTACCTTAATCCTAAGAAGTGGAATGAACTTAAGAAATCTAATTGGGCTGAGTCTCTGGGGCCAACACAATGAGGGACAGGTGAGTCAGGAAGAAATAACTTGGTGGTAAGAGCAACCTCTGCTTCCTGGCTATTTACACCTTAATTTTCAACTATAGAGTCTACTGACTTCAGTTATAAAAATGAAAACAATTTAGTTGTGCCATAACCAGACACTGTAACAGTTTTAGACTCTATAGTTCCAATCTTACTCATACTTCAAGCCTACTCTTTTTACAGTAGGACTTGAATATCTGGATTTTTAAACAGTCACAAAAAAGAAGCAAAGTCTCTAAAATGTTAGCCACTGGTCTTTTTCTGAAAATGCATTCCCAGGTAGTAATAGTAGAATCGGGCTGAGAAAAGCAGTGTTTATTAACCACTGGGAAGGTTAATAAGTTACATGAACAGAGAAAATGGTTTTCAAAACAAATAAGGACAAGATTTGGGGGTGAATTAACTTCTCACCTGTAAGAGAAACAGGGAAGCACATCCTCAGTAATAAACAGTGGCAACTTAATTGTTACCAGTGAATTTCAATGCTCTTGTGGGGAAGCGTTGCTGGGAATTCGGCCAGACAAGGTTGGGGAAGAAACCAGTCCTATTAATGGGTCTATTTAACCCGTCACTGAAAGAGTGAGTGCTCCAATAGGGAGGAGACTAATTGGGGAATTGAGTATAGACGTTGGCCTCTGGTGCCTCTGTGTTAAACCACTAACTAAATGTATGGTCCTAAGCAAATCATGGAGCCTTTGGTAACCTTTGTTCCCTCATCTATAAGCAGTGCCATGCAATTTGTTGCAAGGAATACATGAGTTAACTCTTTTGAAGTATCTAGCACACAATATGTATTTAAAGAAATGTACGTTCCTGTCCTTGTTTCTGGAAAAAGCAGGAAGCTGTGGGGAGAACAAGAAGGAAAAGAGCACATTTTCTAAACAAAGATTAATGTGGGACTGGAAAAAAAAAAACAAAAACGCAACAAAGAGTAGACTCTCTTTCAAAGAGTAATGGGTAAATCTGGGTTCTCATATATTTAAAAAAACATGAATGAGAAAATAAAAATAAAACTCATTAAAAATTCTTTGAAAACTACTACCCTATTAACATTTGCTATAAACAGTTGTTATACTTTACTGGCTAGTTGAAACAGATACAATACCTGGGCGATAAAGATGTTGGCCATCCACTCCATCTGAGTTTGTGAACTATCACAACACAGGTGCCTGCAAAACAATGTTTATAAAATATAATATTGAAAAAGACAGTGGAATTCTCTAGTGTATTTATTTGGCGAGTAAGTAATCAGAAACCTCTTGGGGTTTCCCCTCTTAATGACATTAATGTCATCAAAATGGGAGTATTTCAATACAAGTTGCTTCAGGCTTCTGTTAAGTGTACAGTATCAAAACAGTATAAATATGCTAGTTTAACCAAAATATAGCCAAAGGCTTTGGTAACTGCTGAAAAAATGATTGGTGGTATTTTTGGAAAGGCAGAAAGGTCAATGTCATTTGCTTTCTTAGGTACGTGACTGTATAACATCTTTTTCCCCAGAAACTCTGAGCCTAAGAAGAAAAAGTTTGTGCACATAAGAGCAGATTTTTGAAAAAGGCTTAATCAGCCACCTTCATTATGATTATAAACATTATACCCACAAGGCTCATGAAAAATGAACTAAATGAAAAACCACTGCATGTTCAATAACACTGATTCAGTAACCTTTTATTGAAAACCTACACAAAACAGAGATGTTGCCCTCTAGGTTCACATCATCTATTAGGGGAGCCAGGAATATAAACAAATAAATTATAAGACAGTGAGAAAAAGAGAAAGTAAAGTTGAACACAAACATGAAAAGAAAGGGAGCTTCAAGATGGTGGAAGAGTAAGACATGGAGACCACCTTCCTCCCCACAAATACATCAGAAATACATCTACATAAGGAACAACTCCTACAGAACACCTACTGAACTCTGGCAGAAGACCTCAGATGTCCTAAAAGGCAAACTCCCCACATGCCTGGGTAGGGCAAAAGAAAAAAGAAAAAACAGAGACAAAAGAATAGGGACAGAACCTGCACCAGTGGGAGGGAGCTGTGAAGGAGGAAAGATTTCCACACACTAGAAGCCCCTTCGCGGGTGGAGACTGTGGGTGGCGGAGCGGGCAAGTTTCGGAGCCACGGAAGAGAGCACAGTAATGGGTGCGGAGGGCAAAGTGGAGAGATTCCTGCATGGAGGATCGGTGCCGACCAGCACTCACCAGCCCAAGAGGCTTGTCTGCTCACCTGCCGGGACAGGTGGCTGCTGGGAGCTGAGGCTCGGGCTTCCATCGGATCCCAGGGAGAGGAATGGGGTTGGCTGCGTGAACACAGCCTGAAGGGGGCTAGTGCGCCACAGCTAGCTGGGAGCGAGTCCGGGAAAAAGTCTGGAACTGCCTAAGAGGCAAGAGACTTTTTCTTGCCTCTTTGTTTCCTGGTGCGCGAGGAGAGGGGATTAAGAGTGTGGCTTAAAGGAGCTCCAGAGACGGGCGCAAGCTGTGGATATCAGCGTGGACCCCAGAGATGAGCATGAGACACTAAGGATGCTGCTGAAGCCACCAAGGAGCCTGTGTGCAAGCACAGGTCACTATCCATACCTCCCCTCCCGGAATCCTGTGCAGCCTGCCACTGCCAGGGTCCCGTGATACAGGGACAACTTCCCCGGGAGGACACACAGTGCACCTCAGGCTGGTGCAACATCACAACAGTCTCTGCCACTGCAGGCTTGCCCCGAAATCCGTACCCCTCACTCCCCCAGGCCTGAGTGAGCCAGAGCCCCCAAATAAGCTGCTCCTTTAATCCCGTCCTGAGCGAAGAACAGACGCCCTCAGTGACCTACATGCAGAGGCGAGGCCAAATCCAAAGCTGAACCCCAGGAGCTGTGCAAACAAAGAAGAGAAAGGGAAATCTCTCCCAGCAGCCTCAGGAGCAGAGGATTAAATCTCCACAGTCAACTTGATGTACCCTGCATCTGTGGAATACCTGAATAGACAAAGAATCATCCCAAACTGAGGATATTGACTTCAGGAGCAACGACATATATATTTTTTTCCCTGTTTCTCTTTTTGTGAGTGTGTATTTGTATACTTCTGTGTGTGATTTTGTCTCTATAGCTTTGCTTTTACCATTTGTCCTAGGGTGCTGTCTGTCCATTTTTTTTGTTTTTTAGTTTTCAGCACTTGTTATCATTGGTGGATATCATTTTTGGTTTGTTGCTCTCTTCTTTCTTTCTTTTTATTACTTAAAATTTTTTTAAAATTATTATTTAATAATTTATTTTATTTTAATTTATTTTATTTTATCTTCTTTGTTTCTTTTTTTTCTCCCTTTTATTCTGAGCCGTGCAGATGACAGGCTCTTGGTGCTCCAGCCAGACATAAGGGCTGTGCCTCTGAGGTGGGAGAGCCAAGTTCAGGACACTGGTCCACAAGAGACCTCCTAGCTCCACATAATATCAAATGGCGAAAATCTCCCAGAGATCTCCATCTCAACACCAAGACCCAGCTCCACTCAACGACCAGCAAGTTACAGTGCTGGACAGCCTATGCCAAACAACTTGCAAGACAGGAACACAACCCTACCCATTAGCAGAGAGGATGCCTAAAATCATAATAAGGCCACAGAAACCCCAAAACACACCACCAGATGTGGACCTGCCCACCAGAAAGACAAGATCCAGCCTCATCCACCAGAACACAGGCACTAGTCCCCTGCACCTGGAAGCCTACACAACCCACTGAACCAACCTTAGCCACCGGGGACAGACACCAAAAACAACAGGAACTACAAACCTGCAGCCTGCGAAAAGGAGACCCCAAACACAGTAAGTTAAGCAAAATGAGAAGACAGAGAAACACACAGCAGATGAAGGAGCAAGGTAAAAACCCACCAGACCTAACAAATGAAGAGGAAATAGGCAGTCTACCTGAAAAAGAATTCAGAATAATGATAGTAAAGATGATCCAAAATCTTGGAAATAGAATGGAGAAAATACAAGAAATGTTTAACAAGGACCTAGAAGAATGAAAGAGCAAACAAACAGTGATGAAGAACACAATACATGAAATTAAAAATTCTCTAGAAGGCATCATTAGCAGAATAACTAAGGCAGAAAAACGGATAAGTGACCTGGAACATAAAATAGTGGAAATTACTACAGAGCAGAATAAAGAAAAAATAATGAAAAGATTGAAGACATTCTCAGAGACCTCTGGGACAATATTAAACGCACCAACATTTGAATTATAGGGGTCCCAGAAGAAGAAGAGAAAAAGAAAGAGACTGAGAAAATATTTGAAGAGATTATAGTTGAAAACTTCCCTAATATGGGAAAGGAAATAGGTAATCAAGTCCAGGAAGCACAGAGAGACCCATATAGGATAAGTCCAAGGAGAAATATGCTAAGACACATATTAATCAAACTATCAAAAAATTAAATACAAAGAAAAAGTATTGAAGGCAGCAAGGGAATAACAACAAATAACACACAAGGGAATCCCCATAAGGTTAACAGCTGATCTTTCAGCAGAAACTCTGCAAGCCAGAGGGAGTAGAAGGACATATTGAAAGTGATGAAGGAGAAAAACCTACAACCAAGATTACTCTACCCAGCAAGTATCTCATTCAGATTTTGTTGTTGTTGTTGTGGTACGCGGGCCTCTCACTGTTGTGGCCTCTCCTGTTGCACAGCACAGGCTCCGGACATGCAGGCTCAGCGGCCATGGCTCATGGGCGCAGCCGCTCCATGGCATGTGGGATCTTCCCGGACCGGGGCATGAACCCGTGTCCCCTGCATCGGCAGGCGGACTCCCAACCACTGCGCAACCAGGGAAGCCCTCATTCAGATTTGATGGAGAAATTAAAACCTTTACAGACAAGCAAAAGCTAAGAGAACTCAGGACCACCAAACCAGCTTTACAACAAATGCTAAAGGAACTTCTCTAGGCAGGAAACAAAAGAGAAGGAAAAGACCTACAATAACAAACCCAAAACAATTAAGAAAATGGGAATAGGAACATACATGTCGATAATTACCTTAATGTAGATGGATTAAATGCTCAAACCAAAAGACACAGACTGGCTGAATGGATACAAAAACAAGACCCATATATATGCTGTCTACAAGAGACTCACTTCAGACTTAGGAACATATACATACTGAAAGTGAGGGGATGGAAAAAGATATTTCATGCAAATGTAAATCAGAAGAAAGTTGGAGTAGCAATTCTCATATCTACAAAATAGCCTTGAAAACAAAGAGTATTACAAGAGACAAAGAAGGACACTACATAATGATTAAGGGATAAATCCAAGAAGAAGATATAACAATTGAAAATATTTATGAACCCAATACAGGAGCACCCCAATACATAAGGCCAATACTAACAGCCATAAAAGGGGAAATCAACATTAACACAATCATAGTAGGGGACTTTAACACCCCACTTTTACCAATGGACAGATCATCCAAAATGAAAATAAATAAGGGAACACAAGCTTTAAGTGATACATTAAACAAGATGGACTTAATTGATATTTATAGGACAATCCATCCAAAAACAACAGAATACATTCTTCTCAAGTGCTCATGGAACATTCTCCAGGATAGATCATATCTTGGGTCACAAATCAAGCCATGGTAAATTTAAGAATACTGAAATCATATCAAGTATCTTTTCCGACCACAACAGCTATGAGACTAGATATCAATTACAGGAAAAAAATCTGTAAAAAATACAAACACATGGAGGCTAAACAACACACTACTTAATAACCAAGAGATCACTGAAGAAATCAAAGGGGAAATCAAAAAATACCTAGAAACAAATGACAATGAAAACAGGTTGGCCCAAAAACTATGGGATGCAGCAAAAGCTGTTCTAAGAGGGAAGTTTATAGCAATACAATCCTACCTTAAGAAACAAGAAACATCTCAGATTAACAACCTAACCTTACACATAAAGCAATTAGAGAAAGAAGAACAAAAAACGCCAACGTTAGCAGAAGGAAAGAAATCAAAAAGATCAGATCAGAAATAAATGAAAAAGAAATTATGAAAACGATAGCAAAGATCAATAAAACTAAAAGCTGGTTCTTTGAGACAATAAACAAAATTGATAAATCATTAGCCAGACTCATCAAGAAAAAAAGGGAGGGAGCCTGAACCAAGATAGTAGAGTAGAAGGAA